TGTGCACTTCGTTCACACCCGTTAGACGAGGGGGTAGGGGTGGGGGTTGGGGGCGAGTATAAAGACATCCGCCGCGGTGACCGAGTCAGAAAACCCGTGCCCCCTTCCTCCCCCCTCCCCCCTCTCTCTCTCTCTCTCTCTCGAAAATAATTTGAATAATTACCGGCCCTGCTTTTTCATCGGGGATGCTAAACAGCTGTTAGCCTACGTTCCTCCTCTCCTCCTCTCGGGACGGGAGACAATGCAGGGGCTCCTTAATTTTCTTAAAAGATCCTTCTTCGAGGATGGATCTCTTTTCCTCCTCTATCGCTGTCTGCGGGGATTAGAATGACAATGCGACTTCCCCCCCCTTTTTTTTTTATCGATTATGGACTGAACGCACGATTTCCTACACGCTCCCTAATTTTCTCTCTTCAACCCCTAACGAATGTTTCTTTTCATTTATTTCTATCGATGGATGGGCAATAATACACATTCCTTCCTTTTTCTCTTAATTTCCTTTAAGACGACCAATCCCTTCGAACTTCCCTTCGAATACACGTTTAACGTATTCAAAACGTTTTTCTCGAGCGACAAAATATACTTTACGATACGAGAGAATAATAAACGGAATTAAACGGAGGAGGGACATTTAATTATCGTTCGATTTACGATTGCGATCTCACTGCGGTGGAAGAAAAATAATTTGTCGTTAATCAAGGAGTTGTTCGATCCAACAACTCCTTGTCGGAATTCGAGAATCGAGGGAGGTCTAATATCCGGGGGATACGTCCTCCGCGCGGCGGTGGTCGCCCCGTGGAGCACGTACGACTTCTATTAACGACAGGACAGCCCCCGTTTTGGCAAAACACACAGCGAGGGGCTGAGGCGGAGGCAGCGCCGAGTAATAATTCGTCGGCCGAATTAGCGCCATAAGTTTACCGCCGCGACAGTCGCGGGGATAATATTAATCTACTTTGAATTTATACACAGTGCGGTCTTCCGCCGCCAACCAACTTCCTTCCTCGTATTAAGTCTTTCCCTTAAGGCTTTCCGCTCTCTTTCGCTCCCGAAATTCCGCCGCATCAAATTCTGCTTCCCAACCTTTTTTCAAAATTACATCTCGATCTTTAATCGAGGTTGGAGGGAAGATCGATGAAACGAAATTGATCTTTCTCTTCGATATCGAGCGGAAATTTGGAAAAATTTTTTCTTTCTTCGATCTGTTTCGATTCTGTTTTGGTTAACTCAGTGGTTAGAAAAGAAATTGATTAGGAATTTTTTTTCTTTTTTTTTTTTTTTTTTTTTTTTACGTTATTTTGAAACGAAAAACTCTCGACTCGTGTTATTCGTGTCGATAATCTTCGGGGAAGGAAGATTCGAGGAGGAGATTAATTTAATTCTCGAACGAGTATCTTGGAGTATAGGGCGGTTTATTTACTCAGCGCGCGTATTAAGACGCGGTCAGACGCGGGAAGGGGCGCGAGATTCACCCCTTCGGTGTAGACGGATAAATAACTCAAGACAGCCTGGGAATAACTTAAGACGCCCATTCTTAATGAAAGCCGCCAACCAACTATGTTCCTCCCGGAGAAATTCTATACGCGGTATCGTCCTCATTTTCAATCCTCCCCTCCCTCCCTATTCCAAAACTCGCTATTCCTCCTTTCATAAACGATCCAAAAATCGACGATCCTTCTTTTCCTTTTTTTCCTCCACGAACGAGTAAGTTTTAATTTAATTTACGAAAGGAGGAGAAGAGGAAGGAAAGAAAAAGGGGGCCGAGGAGTTCGGCGAATTTCCTTTAACCTCGGCGTTCAACGCGTGGCTGATAAGGTGTCGAGAAAAGGACACGAAGATCCTTGCAAAAAAACCTGTGATGGTCTACGTTTACGCGGTGAACGGCGTACGTTCGACGCCTCGCATGCATTATGCGTTCGACCGGCGTTTACGGGCCGCGTTTCTTCCAAAGAAAAAAAAAAAAAAAAAAGAAAAAGAAAGAAGAAAAAAGAAAAAGAATTTATGTTAACCTCGAGCAAACCGCGAAGTTAAGCTCGCTCCTCCGTCGAGAATTAAGACATTCCCGGCCTAATAATTTTCATTTCACTGCCCGCAAATATTTTGTCCGTCCCTCCGCCATTTTTCTCTCCCTCTCTCTTCGACGACGCGCGAAAATTTGAACAGGGGATGGAAAACCCGGAAGCGAGATTTTTTCCCCTCGTCGCCCGCCAAATTGGCGGGGAGGGAGGGGGATCCCCTCGCGCCGCGAGTAAACAGCGCGCGAGAGGGGGATTTTCGCGGGGGAAGGGGATTTTCCAGTGGACAATAAGGTGTCGGGCGAGAAGGTGGCGCGGCACGCCCCAAGGTGAGCATCTCGAAACGCGGCACTGCAATTACGAGCCATACCACGTCGGGGCGAGCCTCGTAACGAACTCGCTATATTGCCCACCATTTCGAAACTGGCCGCGCGTAGACGCTCTTTACCTGGCCCCCCCTCGCTCTTCCCATCTTGGGAAGGGGGGGGTGACGGGGCCCGCTGTTAGGCCTGAGAATAATGTTTCGGAGATGAAAGAAAGAAAGAAAGGAAGGAAGGAAGAAAGGAAGGAAGAAACGTTCGGGGAATAAGCGGTGAATTCCTGATGTTGGTGACCTCGATTCAGCTTCTGCGAACGACGTCGATGAGATAAGTCTTGAACAGGGATTTGACGAAACGAAAGTTTAAAGTTTTCTCTTGTCTATCGATCATAGCGTGTTTTCTTTTTTTTTTTTTGGAATTTTTTTTGACAGGATTTCATAGAGATTTTTGACGATTTGGCCGGGTTTGGTTGGGTCTGCCTTCTGTCGTTTGATATCAGTTTTCCGAATTTTTGAACAGGATTCTCTCTATCTTTTAGCTTCTGCAGAGGCTTCGATCGATTATACGAAGCTTGTAGATTTTTTTCGTTTGTTATCAGGATTTTTGGTTATTATTTCTTGAAAAAGAATGGAAGATTTTTTATAATTTAGTCTAGCTTTTATGAAGTTTGTAGATTTTCTTTGTTATCAGGATTTTTGATTATTTCTTAGAGAAGCCAAGTTTGGTCTAGTTTTTATAAAGCTTGTAGATATTCTTCGTGCGATATCAGGATTTTTATTTTTTGGAGAAGAATAGAAAATTTTTGATGATTTAGCAAGTTTGGATTAGCTTTTATGAAACTTGTAGCTTTTCTTCGTCCAAAATCAGGATTTTTTATGAATATTTCTTGAAGAAGAAATGAAAGATGTAGTTTGATAGTCAGTTTCCCGAATTTTCGAAGAGAATTTCTCTCCATCTCTCTACGAAGCTTTTCTTCGTCGATTATCAGAATATTTTCTCAGTAGAAGAATGGAAGATGGATGACGGCTGTTCGATTCATCTCTTCTATCTGCTTCTGCAACTTTTTAAACCTACATCTTTTCGACGTATCTTTTCCTTCTACCTCTTCGAATTTCCAACTTGCACGGATCAAGAATAAAAGATCTATTTTCGACTAGGTCCCAGAATCCTAGAACTATCTATCTATAACTACAAGCAAAACGGTGGTTACAGCGCTAAATCGATCCTTGGATAATTTTCAATCTGAGCTTTGACCTCGATTCGATCGAAATTGGTCGCCGCGAGATCGATCAATCGCGTTTGATGACGCGTTTGGTCATTGACTTGTCCCGACCCGTGATCTAAGCCACGGGTGAATCTCTGGGATTCGTTCGCTCTAAAATAAATCATATTGCAGAAGATGCCACGGCCAGCAGGAAACAGGGACCAGATGTGGTCGCTTTGCTTTACGAGACATGTGTGTACAGGCCATCGGATGACACTTGCTATATTTAGTTCTGTGGGAAAAAGGGGTTCCACGCACATAATTACGCACCTACGCGAAACCTACCGCGTGTCTCTTTCAAAAATCCCCTTCCCCTCTCCATTTCCCCAATCGTTTTTCCATATCTTTTCCTTCATTCATTTTGCCGGGCCAAGGTAAAAAAACTATGAATTCGTATTCAATTTTTCGCTTTAACCCTCCGTTGCGTGAATTTTTACCAATTGAAAAATATATATATCTGTTTACTTAAAAATAAATAATAACAGCATTCTTATTTTTCGCACCTGTTTGAATATACTTTTGAAATTTGAAGTCCCCAATTGGGGGAATGCAATAGAGGATTAAATACGTGTCTAATTTTATCATTCGATTTTTTTAGAAATTTAATCAATTAATTAAACCAGATATAAATCGATACGCGTGAATTTTTACGACCAATTGAAAAATATATATATCTGTTTACTTAAAAATAAATAATAACAGCATTCTTATTTTTCGCACCCGTTTCAATATACTTTTGAAATTTGAAGTCCGCAATTGGGGGAATGCAATAGAGGGTTAAATACGTGTCTAATTTTATCATTCGATTTTAATCAATTAATTAAAGCAGATATAAATCGAGAAGATACGCGTTGGAAAAAAAAAGTTGGAACGCTTTGTATTCGAAATTCTTAGCTTCCAGTTTAGGAGGGAGCTAAGGTTCTAAAGCAAATAAATGTTTCCTCCCATTGCGAACGTTTGTTAATTCACCGAGGACGGTTTCTCAGTCGAAATGAATCTCTCGATCCACGTGGCTGGCCCGTGTCCCATGTGGAATATTCTACAAGATCCCACGTGTGATCTCCACGGAGAGATCGCGTGGGAAGGCGAACGTCGCACGAAACGTCGGCAGCTGTTCACACGTGTCCTTTATGCGCGCATTACTAAAAATCCGCCGCGTTTCGTCCTCCTCCTCCTCCTCGTTTCAAACGTTCCCCCTCTTTCCAACGATCTCACGATTCTCTTATCTATGCTTCTTTCGGTACACCAACGACGCTGGAAAAGGAAATCGCGTGTATCTCGATTTTTTCCCTCCCCATCTTTTTTTTTTTGCTTAGATTAAATTTTACGAATTCCTTTCCTTCTTCTTCTTCTTCTTCTTCTTCTTTTTTGTAAGAATAAAAAGACGAGAAAATGTTTCAGATCGACACGCCGATCGAGAACGAAGCGGACGTGACGTCGGATGCGAACAACCCCGAGTCCAGCTTCCCGGAAAAGGGTTTCAAGGGTGAGTGAAAGAAAGAGCAGAAGGGTAGAAAATTATACCGTGAAACTTATTCTCATAGATTTAACGTTTATTCTCCGTTGAAACCCCCGTGCCTAATCAATTCCCATCCCAATTTACATTTCCCGTTTCCTTTCGCTCGTTGTTCCGTGTTCGCGGTTCGTTGAAGAGGAAAGAAAAGGAAAGAAAAATTACACGAGAACGGGACAATAGAAGAAACAATTTGTTCGGAAAACAAACGTGTACTTATAATAATTCATCAAAATCGAATGTGGAATATATCTGTACATAACAGCAAATTGCTTTCCAAATATTCTCCCTCTCAGATAAAATTCGTAGCATCATCTCGACTCGTCAACTATCAGATTAACCTTTAAATATCCACAATGCTTTATAAACCTCTATTCCCAAATAAAAAAAAATTCGTAAAATTCGTAAATCGCAGAGAACCACTTATTGGAAAACATTTATTTCGAACATATAAATTCACATAATAATTCGCGCCCCGGAAGTCGAAGCGAAATCGACTTGGACAGGAAAGACAGGAAAGAAGGAAGAAAGGAAGGAAGGAAGGAAGGATCGAATTAAGTCGGTCGCGTTCAGACATCCGACGAAACCAATCCACTTAACTCCCAACCCCCTTCAACCCCCACCTCGGGGGGCCGAGAAAGGTCGTGGAAGGTTTTGTTCTCGAACAAAAATCTGACAAATATGCCGCGATTTGCCGAAGAATGGAGGCGAAGTACACTCTCTTTCTCTCTCTCTCTCTCTCCCCTTACCACCACTCGTTCCAAGGATTCTCCCTCCCTCTCCCTCCAGTTCCACAGTCCGCAGAGAGGGTGGCGAGCAAAAGGGTGACTCTTAAATTACTTAGACCGAACAAAACGTAACAAATGACGGTGAATCGGGCCACTTATGCGATATTGGCCCATCACCGCCACCCACGTATATTGATACCGTCGCATTAGGGCTGCCAGACACCCCCTCGCCCTCTCCTTTCTCTCTCTCTCTCTCTCTCCACGTTTTCCTCGACGCGATTTTCCTCCGGAGAAGAACCGTTTCTGGGATTTTTGATGGAACTGGTGTCTTATTCCCGTCACTTATTTCCCCTCCTTGTTTCTCGCGCGACGATCCAAGTCAGTCGGAGGGGGGCAAGAGTCGGGGGACAAAATTATATTTTTTCAATTTTTTGGGAGTGGGTGTATCGTTTCTAAGATTTGTAGTTGAAGAGGAATTTAATTTTTTTGTTAAAAAGAAAAAAAAATTGTCTTCGAATTATGGACGGAGGATCTTCCAACTTGAAGATGATTGAAATTTTCTTTCTTTCTTTCTTTCTTTCTTCGAGTGAAAGTGTTTTCTACAAAGACACGAACGGTGTGTACGCCATCCCCTTCACGGTTTTCTCCAGACTTGGTTATTAATGGTTTTCGCGAACTCGGTTCATTAAGGAGCTCACGAAACTACGAGGAAACCACCCCCTCCCCCTCGCGGGGGGACGTGTCGAAAACGGTGGCCGTGCACCAAATTAGCAACGTATATTATTTCCAAAACCCGCGCCGCTATTTTCGCCCTTCTCTCAACATCGATTTTTCGAATTTTTATCCATTCGTTTTTCTTCTCTTCGATTTGAAAATAATTTCGAAGAAGATTTTCAATATAGAAAGGGCTACGTGCATCAAATTACTCGTTGTTGTTGCGTAAAATATTTGTTGTACGTTTATATCGAATATAAAACAAGATTATTTTTTCAATAATACTAGCATTTGATATAAATTATTGAAATTACTCGTTATTGTTTTAGAATATATTTTTGACATAATCGTGAATTTTATTTGAACGTATCTTCCACTAAAATTATCAATTGGATATTGAAAGTATACGCTACTCTTTTAAAATAACAGTTCCCCAAAATATATCGAAACTTGTTCCCAAACTATATCGAATTAATAACATTCTCTTTGGCAAAAAAAAAAAAAAGAAGAAGAAGAAGATTAATAAATGCATCTCAACTAAAAAAATAACATTTCACGATTGCCATCTTCCACGAGTAAAACACTTATCAAACCTTGTAACAACGAGCAATTTGACGTATAAATCATTTTTCGAAACACTTTCTTTTCACTCGTATCGAAATCGAAAGAAAATTAAGAATTACGAAACAACCAGATTATCCATTTAATCTGATGATAAAAATGGGGTTGCAACGATTCGAAGGGCGTTTGGCGCCCCCTTTCAACGCGTGTTCATCGTCGTATCAATCTCCTTCCCCCTCCCCTCCCCTTCGTTCCTTTTTGCCAACCGCTGGAATTACACGCGCTATTATCGCAAAGAAAAAAGCAGCGGCCGAGATAAGAGAGAGGGGAGGAGGAGGAGGAGGAGGAGGAGGGGGGGAATTCGCGATCCACCGGTCGCGGAAACCGAGAGATGAAGACATTATCGTGATCCGTGGCCGCGTGTTTAAGCGTGGCAAGAACGCAAAAGAAGACGGTGGAGGGAGGAAGGGGGGGGGTTGGGGGAGCACCGTGGATCGGAGAAAGAGGGAGAGAGGGAGAGAGGAGATGGGATGCACCTGTCCACCGGCTCGCTAACAAGGAACATGACCCGCGCGCAAGCGGAACTTGGAGCGCCGTTCCTTGAAAAATATTTCTCAGCCGTGCGTGGAACGATGGCTTTCTCTCGAAATATTCAGGGAAAAACAGGCGCCTATATGAATAAACTTAGAATCGGCTTGTACGCTTGTAATTGGCAATTAAGCGGGGCGACATTTTTAGAATTCTCGTTTTACGACCATTAGAATTTCGCCATTTCGTCGCCTTTTTTCTTTTTCTTTTTCTTTTTTTTTTTTTTTTTTTTTTCATTCGCCGTGTTTGCATTCGCCGATATAAGGCGTATATAAATCAGAAATTTTCGGCACTTTCGATTCTTTTCTCGCTCAACTTCGAAAGAAATTTTCGATCGTTAAATTTATCTGCGAAGAGTTCCGTGGATAATTTAATTATCTTTTCAATTTACATTCAAACATTTTAAAATTCGCTCATTATTAAAATTATTTTCCAAGAGTGTGAACAATACACACGCTCGTGTTTCCTCAATTTTTACAATCCATCCTCGTGTCCAATAAAACAGTGTAAATTTGTATTCGTCAAATGTGGTGAGAAAAATCGAAGACGAATACCGAAGCGACTCGATAAAAAGAAATTCAATTACCCGGTTTGATTTTTCGCATCGCGTTTCTCGCAATTAGAGCCGAGTCGAAGCGAGGATTTGTTGAGCTCGCGAGATTCGCTTCCCTCCCTTTCAGGGAACTTTTTCTCTCTCTCCCTGTTGTCGTTTCGCGGCGGCCACTCCGCACGGCCGTGGAATCATTCTAGGCCAAAGGAGATAATGCAATAATAAGTATAAGTTAGGCGGAGAACGGGGGGGGGGGGCGGGGAGTTAGCCCCGTGGAACGAGCGCCCCTCGCAATCTTCGGTGCCGGTTGATTATTATGTCGTTCCGGATGGGCCTCGAGCATTTTCACCACCGCTCTCTCAATGGCTTCGTTGCGTTTTCTCGCGGAGTTACTCGAGTTCCTGCCCTTCTTCTTTTTCTTTTTTTTTTTTTTTTTTTTTTCAAGATTGCGAGATTTTTGAGAAAAGGTATCGGTTCGAGGAAGAGTTTTTAAGTTTTCGTGATTTTATTAACGAAAAATTATTAACAAAAATTACGTATGTGTCAATTCGCTTTATTAGAATTTGACGATTTTCTTCTTTTTTTTTTTTTTTTTTTTTTTTCTCCTTCCAGAATTGTTTTTCTCCAGATTTTTGAGAAAAGATATCGGTTTAAGGAAGAGTTTTTAAGTTTTAGTGATCAAAAATTCGTAAATATGTGTCAATTCGAATTCGAATCGTGGCCTTTTTCTTTTTTTCTCAGGATTGTGAGATTTTTGAGAAAGGTTCAAAAAGAAGTTTTTAAGTTTCAATAATTTTACCAGTGGCCAAAAATTCATAAATGATGAATGGCTTCACTCGAGTTCGTGATCTTCTTCTTTTTTTCAGAATTGTTGATTTTTTAAAAAAGATTGAAGGAGGAATTTTTAAATTTTAACAATTTTATCAGAAATTTATGAATTGCTAATAAATTTCACGTCACTTTTTCCCCTATAGTTTTGTTACAATGTTTTCTCACAATCAAAAATCAAGAATCCTTATAATTCGTTCTACTTCTTCACTTTCTTCTTTCTAATTTTCAAGTTTTCGAGAAAAGATATCAACTTCAAAATTTTAATAATCATTTCTCGAGCAAAAGTTCAATATATAAATCGATACGTTTCGTAGAATCTCTCGAAAGTAATTCGAAGAAATAAATTTCGAGGAAAATAGGGAAATGATTGTTTTTCGTAATTGTAGCGTGGAAGGCGAAGGTCAAGCACGGAGAAATGGAGGGCAAAAACGTCGGCGGTGAAATTGATGGGAACGTCTTATTTCGAGGGGCGGCCCCCCCTCCCCCCCCCTTATTCCCTTCCTCGCTTTTGTCTCCACTCTCGTCTTGGCTGACTATGACAAATAATTGCCGAAGCTTAACATAAGCCAGAGCCGGTATACTTAGCTAATAGCAAAAAAAGAAGAGGGAAATAGCGACAAGTTTTAACTAAGTGTCCTCTCCTTTTTCCAACGTGCGTGCCACGCAATCGGCAGAGGTCTTTGCCTTCGAAACCCTCCCTTCCCTCCTCTCCTACAAACGATAGATAAATCGTTTCGTACAAATTTTTTCAACGATCGATATTCGAGCGAGCAAACGACGACAACTATTACAAACGAAGATTCTTGGAAGATTGGAATTCTAGAGAAAATTGAGAATATCGAATATTTCGAGATACAACCGAGATGTGTGTTCGATGCTTTCGACGATGCTGGTGGTTTAGATCGTCAGGATTAAATGGATAGGAAGGGTATATTTTTTTTTAAATAATACTTTTTTCACATCGGCTGATGACATTTTTACGATTAACGGGACGGGAGAGGGGGAAGAGAATTATCCGAGAGAAACGAGTTTCCAGTATTTCCAACGATGGAACGAGTTATTTGACCAGAGTGCTGAACTACCGCCTGATGCTAAACGCTGCATCGACGTGGCATGCGTGACACCCTTCGTCATTTTCGTCGTCACCAGTCGTCCTTAATGTGAATTTAAGAAGCCCCGCAAACGACCGTCGATCCCGCATTTCCATCGTTCCTCGTTTTAAATTATTCCTCGTCTTGCCGCGTTTCAACCCTCCCCCTTTCTTCTCCTTCTACCAACTCGTTTCATTTCAACGTACTTATTTCTCTCCTATTACTTTCCTATTCCGTAATAATACCTGAGAATATTATCACATCCGTGGAATATATCGACAAAATTTTATTGCCCGTTCTTTCAATTACACGTTTTCATCTTTATCCTCTATTCTCTTTCAATTACACATTTTCACCTTTATCCTCTATCCTCTTTCAATTACACATTTTTCACCTTTATTTTTTATCTTTTTCCAATTATACGACTCGAGAGTAAGCAGCATCGAGCGAAAACCTAAAAAGAGAGAGAGATGTGTATATATATTTTTATCGCAGACATCGTCGATCCCTCCTCGATTAGAAAATTCTTGTCGAAGATCGTGGTGGAACGAGAGGATCGAGGAAGCAAAACCGAGCTCGCGATCGAGCTTTTTTTCGAATCGGTGGTATCGCGAGAAAGGATTCCGCGGCCGAGGAAACAAAAGGGCAGAGCGTTTGGACTGGCCCTTGATCGTCTCCCCCTTCCCCTCCCTTCCTCGTGGAAAAACATTTCGGAAAAGTCGGTCGACCGCGTTTCGACGTCCATCTCGATTCCTCGATTCCGCAGGAAGCCGGAGACATTGCGCGAAGCAAATATCCTTTTGTCGATCGAGGAAAAGAAAAGACGAATGTTTCTTGGTTCGAAGTTTCTCAACGAAGGTGTGTCATCGAATTTTGAAATGAATTGTGCGAATTGGTATCATCGGATGACGATTTATAAGAGAAGGAATAGAATTGAAAAATAATTGCAGGACGAGAGAAGGAAAGAGAAATATATATTCTCTTAATTAATTAAGAGTTAATAATTAAAATCGATTCAGTCCTTTCCAACGTGCGTTCAACTTCAATCTTGAAGCAGAAAGAGAGAAGAAATATCGAAGATAGAGAAATCCTAATCCTACTTTATTTCATATTCCGTTTTTCGAAAGATAATAAATAACGATATTTCAAATTGTTCCAGGAACCGAATTGGTGCCGAGTTGATCTGCGTCATCAAGGATCAGAGGATAGGCAAATTGCTTTGTGGCGGAACGTTTCAATAACGATAGTCGATTTAATATAAAATATTTTTGTACACGAGTTATCATATATTACATACATATATATATATATATATATATATTATATATATTAATCTCTGTATAATATACAGAGATGTGTCGAAAAGAGATGAGATGAGATGAGATCGTGTGCAAGGAAGGAGGAGGTAGCAATCGTGGAAAAAAAAATCAAACGATCGCGTTTTTTTTTTTTTTAAATTGTTATTACTCGATTATTATTTTATTAATAACGCACAGAGAAATGGGTGCAATGGGGAGGAATATGAATGGCGAACGGCGACAAAGGAATCCAAAGACGATATATTCGATATATATATATATACATACATACACACACACACACACAAACATATTCCTTTTGGCTAAATATTCTATTCGTGCTACGGTGAAATGGGTGCAAAGAGAATGCGTGGCTAACGAAGGAAGCAGATTATTTGCGAAGAGACGGCTGCATTGTAAATGATCGATGAAAATCGATATTCCGTTAGATTATTAAGAATTTTTCTATTACACTCTTTAGAGAAATTGTATCGTCTCGTGTCTCATTATTGTTTCACTTTTCTTTTTTTTTTTTTCCTTTTTTTCCCCTTTTTTCTTCCTTTTGGAAAATTTTTGACCCGAGAAGAAGAAACTTTGTCGATCTATTTTTTTTTTTTTTATACAATCGTTTATATATTTACGTATTAAAGCAATATTATCGAATATAATAATTAATCAGCACAAATATATATATATATATATATATTTTTATTAAAACTTAATCAAAATTTCTAGATCATTAAAATTAATTTTCGAACAGGGATTCGGTCATTTCCACGAGCCATCCTTTCGCATTTTCGGATGTGTTTGATGACATGGTGCTGACACAGAATTTATATTATTATATATATATAACATATATATATATATATATTTTTTTTTTTTTTTTTTTTTTTTGAGAGATAGACTTTATTCGAGTTTGGGTAACGACTAACACGTTCACGCTTTTACATTTATATTAATATTATACATATACATACCACGGAAAGAATTGGGTGCACGCGAACGAGAAATGGGATGCGCGAGTATGCGAGAGTTTAACGGTGCGCTCAAGCGATTGATCGGTGTTCGATCGTTTTAATCGTGGAGACAGAGAGAGAGAGAGAGAGAGAGAGAGAGAGAGAAAGAGAGGAAATGCAATATTCGAGAAGCTTTTTTTTTGTTATTTTATTTATTATTATTATTATTATTATTATTATTATTATTATTATTATTATTATTATTATAATTATTATTATTTTGCGCATTTCAATCAATACTACTACGACTACGTTTAGCGAATTTTTTTCCGGTTCTCGATGTATCACTATCCCGCAATTGTATATGGCTATCGTTGCATAGACAATGGTTATAGACGCGTTGAAGAGGATCTAGAGATCATTAGGAATAATTTACATACTTGTTCGTCGTAGAAGCTGAAAATAAAATGGCAAAGTAGTACTGATCATGTATACGTATATAATCGAGTACACGAATAATTTATTCCTTTATATTCCACGAATATCACGCCTTTCTCCCCCGTTTTTCTAATAAAAATTTCCTTTCGGCAAAATGGTAAGAATAATTTTTGTTCGCGATTTTATCCTTTTCGGATTGTTCATTTCGTCCCGATATTTCTCCAAGAGAGGCAGGAAGAAGAGGAGGAGGAGGAGGAGCCAAGGAAGGATCTCGAGGGGATTAAGCGAAAAACTATTGGGATTGTTTATAAAGGTGTTTAACAAATAGCCACCAACGTGGTAACACGTGGAAACACGTTCAATCAAGATTAGAACTCGCATGCGGGATCCTTCGTAATACGAATTAGGGGAAAAGCTTGATTGCCGTGGCATTTGTAAGGATTAGGAAAGAAAATAAGTAAAAAAAAAAAAAAAAAAATCCATCGTCGACACTTCTCTGTCACCGAGGAATTTCCTCTCCTTAACGAAATCCTTAACGAATTCAAATCGATTAGAAAAAAATAAACAATAAAAATGAATAATAAAAATACATAAAATTTACCTCGCTGATAATTATAATTTAATAAGAATATATATATTTATAATTAGAATTATCACGTGAATTTAGAATTTTCTTCCGTTTCTTCGTTATTTCCTTAAAATAAAAAATAAAAAATAAAAAAGAAAGTTTAAGGGTAAACACGCCATTAAGATTAAGATTCCGAAAATTGGTAGCTGTTAATTAATTAACGCGTTTCGCGACGGGACGACGCGAATCCTGGATTTACAAGGAAGTTTAATTACTCGACGGTAAGTTTAATGCAGTTAGGCCTATTGAACCGTCGGCAAGATTGTTTTCCAAAGTAAATGAGGCAATGATGACTCGAGGATTCGGGACCACCTAGAAACCAGCCAGAGGTCCTTCGTCCTCGCCTTTAAACCCCTCCAGAACTAATTAACGTACGAGCATACACGATGCCTCTTCCTCTACGTCGATCTCTAGTTTTCGAGGCCGGCGGAAATTCTGAGAGAAGTCCGTCTTTTATCATCGATCCATCATCCTAGATTCCTAGATTCAACCTGATACACGTGTATATATATATATATTTATATATTTCTTTTCAGAATTTCGAACCACGATCGATGGATCGACACTGAAAGGGATCGACGACGGAAAGGAAAATTACAAATATTCCCTTCCAATTCCAATTCCTCTCGACGAAAGGGAACTAAAAACGTTTCGAAAATTCTCTCTGCCCAGATCTTGGAAATCGAAATCGAATCCTGGATCGTTCGAAAGCTCGACGACCGACGAAGGGGTGGGGGTTGCAGACGTCGGGCAAAAACGATCTTTCGCGTTTAGTTTTATCGTTGGGAAAGAAAACAGAAACTCTCCCTGGCGGAGAGAGAGAGAGAGAGAGAGAGAGAGAGAGGAGGATGGTAAAAAACGTTGGAAGAATCGGGGAGAGTGGAAAGAAAAGAGGAGAAGGAGGAGGAAGAAAGAGGGTGATTGCCAAACAAGTGTTGACCGTTTCCTCGACCTTGCTCGAACTTTCTCTCTTCGATCCTTGGCGTGGCCGTCCGCTTTAAAGGGTTAAACTGGCCGAAACGTTTCCGCGTGTTTCCAACGATTTTCGAACTCGAGGATTCTCGACCAGGATTTCGAACCCGTCCCCGCGCCGATCTTTCGACGGGTTCCGTCTCCGAGGACAAAACTATCTCCGCGCGGGGAACAATAGGGAGAGAGGGGGAGGGAGAGGGGGAACTGGCGAGTCAAACGCAAAGCTGAGATGACAAATGAAAGGAGATCTCTCGTCGCGTGGGCGGAAGACTGTTTCTATTTGCAGCTCGTAAGTTCCTCTCCTCGTTTCTCGATATTTCCATCTTGAACGAGTTAGACACTTCTCCATCGATTAGATTTTCTTATTTATCATCGAAATTTGAAATTCGAGAGCGAAAATTATCTCGATGCGCACGATTCGATAAATATCTCTGCGTGAAATATCAAGTTTAGAGATTAATTAATTATCGAGAAGAAATTAAATCTCTCCTCCGTTTTCGAAGCGAAAGTAGAGAAGAGGAGATCTAGATCCATTTTTCTGAAAAATGAATCAACGTATCTCGTATCGCGTTCACCCGCGATAATTTCCGTAATTGGTGGAGGAAAAAAAAAAAAAGAAAAAAGAAACGAAAGAAAGAAAGAAAGGGGAAAAAAACGGAAATCAACGAGGAATTTCTGTGAAGGAAGAAAAATAGTTGTTCGGTTGGGGAATGCAATTTGTTCCAAATTCCAGAAGCGCGACTTAGCGATGATTGGGGTATGGTAAAAAGAAAACGGGTGTGTAACGAAGGTAGAATAATCGAGTTTGCTCTCGGTGGCTGGATGAACATTCCAAAGTAGTTGGCCGTAAACGGTGCTCACTTCGACCTGGCAGGAACATGTTAATTAGCGGTAATTAAAGCGCGCTCGTTGCCCGCTATCCGCCCTGCATCGCCAACCTCTCTCTCTCTCTCTCTCCTCCCTCCCTCCCCCCATTTTCCACTCCACGTGGTTTATCTCTTACCTGGAATATCTCCCTTCGTTACTCCAGGACACGCGGCCATAATTGATTTCCTTCCACCGATATCCTTCTCCATTAACGATAAGTATACACGTTTATATATACCATATACTATATATATATACATATTCCAAAACGAATATCTCTGATTTAAAATTTTTCTCTGAAAATCCGTCTCATATATATATATATATATTGGAAATATGTAATCGTCGAAAAGGTCGAGAGAATAGAGGGGAAAAAAAAAAGTGGGGACGACGCTCGCCGCGACCAAGTTTCTTCAAGAGTGGGGGCAAAAAGAGGATGAGAGCGCGCGGGAAGAGGAGAGACGGCGTCGTCGTTAACCGACGGGGTAACAATTCCAGCCGCGAGCGAACAATAAGAAATCATACGAGCCGTCCCGTCCCGTCCCGTCCCGTCCCGTGGCGAGGAGGGGAGGGGAGGGGAGGAGGGCGCGGTGTATATAACCATCGGCTGCCATATTTCTTCCATTCCACGAATCCCGGGGACGTTGATAACCGATCGATTAATTCGAGCGGGGGCCCCGTCCCCCGCGTGCATCGCCTCGGCCTCGGTGGAAGGCATCGGAGGGCCTCGGCACGGGATCTCTCTCCTCCTGATCGCCCCCTTCGTTTTTTTCCCCCGCGTGTTCGGGGCCTCCTCCTTAAGTCAGATCAGCAGCAAGATGGCCGCGGGCCCCGGTAAATAAGCGACTGTCATCTGACGCCCGCAAAAACCGGATACACCGCGCCAGACTGGTCTCTCCGTCTTCTTCCTCTTCTCTTTCTCCCTCCCTCTCTCTCTGTCTCCTCTTCTATCTTTCTATATATGTATATGTATATATATATATATATATACACATCTTTCACCGCTCCTCCTCTCTTCCTTCGCTTTTATTCTCTCCCTTATCCCTTCCCTTATCCTTTTCTTTCCTCCTCCTCCTCCCCCCACCCCGTCTCTCCTCCGCTTTCTTTTCTTCCTTCTTATCTGTTCTTCATTT